TTACAAAAGAGAGGCACAAATTTTGCGCTCTGTTCGTTATGGTAGAAAACAGAACATTTTTAATGGCGTTAAAATTTCATTATATACGATAGATCTACAATTTATGCGCTTTCATATCCAAATAGTTTTGCTGCAATCCTTGCCGTAAATTTTAATTTCGTCTACTTCCCTCCCAACAAATTCTGTTTTCTATCGTAACGAGTAGAGCGCAGAATTGTTGAAAGCGTTTCATTTTCAAAGAGCGGATAAATAGCGCGTAATCATACATAATTACTATTTATTTTGCATTTGGTGAAAAGGGAGACATCACGTTATCCAAACGCGCCGGTGTAATATCCGATGCCATTAACGGCGCAACAATTGCTCGTTCCGCTGACGCACACATCCTTCAATCTGAATTCCAATTCGACTGCATTTGCGTACCAGCAGCCGTGATTGCGCGCGCCAAGGCGTTCCATCTTCCGCCCCGGTCTTCGCGGTTAAGGGCGATAATAGCGATCCCGGCAAGTAGCTGGCGAAGTTACACCGGCAAGGTGACAAAGTAGGGGGTTGTGCGGGGGAGTGGGTAGGTGGACGAACGGTCTACCCTATGAACCGGGCGAGAACAAGCGAGGGCAAAGGGCCAGGGGTGTATTAAAGGGGCGCTATGACCCGATGCGCTTGTCTCATGCATACCAATAAGCCCCGCGCTCTGCATCTCGTATGTAGACGATCCGCCTGCAGCTTGCCTGCAACTTCGCTTATTTGTCCTGCGAAATGGATCCCCGCGTGCCTGACTATACGATCGAGATTAGCGCGAGTGTGTAGAGCGATATGTAGCATGTGTGTATGTTAAATTTGGATATTATCGTGTATTAAGTACTTTGCGGGGAACGAAGTTGGAGACGAAGGTCATTGCGTTCGGAATTGTACAAAAGGAGAAGAAAGAGGAACATATCTCGGGACAATTTATACCTTCCTTTGCCGAGATAGTGGTAACGCGCGATCTTGGCTCTTTGCCCGAAACGTCCATCGGGGGTAGGAGGGAGGCGAGTAATTCTCGATAAACAATAATACGAAAATAAAGGAAGGCGAAATAAAATAACGGTCGAGGAGGGACACGCCCGGGCGAAACGAACTTTTATTAACGAGAGCTTTCACGAATTCGAGCGCGTTCCGCGCGAAAGAACGCTCCAATTTGTCCGCGTAGCGAGCGCGAAATGGAATTAAGGCCGACGAATTTGATCAGCGGCCGGAGTCCGAAATCTCGGCGAAAATACGGAGCGCCGGACGAAACGCTCAGAGGGACGACTAATGATAGTTACCGCTGTGAGTTGATTCTCGTTTAAAAGATTTACGCCGGCCCCGTGTAGCTTGCAAATCGAATATCCGGCCGGCTCGCCAAAGTAGTTCCGCGCTCGCAGACGAAAAACCGTCTATCTTGCCGAGATCTGCAACTACGCTCCTGCTCTTTTTTCCTCTTCTTCGGCTTTTTTTCACCGGAACCTCGCCAAATGTTTCTGCCGTAGCAATTATACCTTTTCTCGTGGTAATCACGCTGAAAACGTGCATAAGGCTTCAATTGAGCCATAGCCGCGCGTTGGATTTTTGATACCGGCCGGATATTGGCTCGGATTACAGTCGGATAATAACTCGTGCTCAACAGCACCACTCGATTTTTGGCCGGGCATTCGCGATTGTACACCAGCCAAGAACACGTTTCTCCTATGGTACTGCGCGACGTTGACTGTATTGACTCTAATCGTATCGTTTAAAGAAAATGTCACGTTTGCCTTTATTTGGACCGTCGAACTATTTTCTTAAGAACCTTCTTCAATTTTAACCGATTACACGTATTGATTGAAACATTATACACATGTATGTACAGATTAGAGAACGATGGACTATTGGAAAGCTGAGATATTCCGAACTGGAAATGATACTTTTGTACACGTTTGCATGCAACTGTGAATGATTTCTTTTACAAAAGGAATTTATTTATTTATTTGACGAAAATAATTCTCCTTTAAATTAAAGTATTTACTAAATATAAAAAAATATTTTCTACAATTAATATTTATTATATTATATAAAAAAATATTAATTGCTATATAACAAATCGTTAATTTTTTTTAACTAGTTTCTGCATTTATTATATCTTCTTTGTTAAGTTGCTTTTGGACATTTGTCAAGGATTTTTTCTGAAATCTTCTTAATCATGTGCCATTTAATCAATTCCATTTATATTTTATTTGAAAAATTCGCTTGTCACCGGCTAGATTGGAACTTGCACAGGTTTGGAGGTAACTGCATCCCCTACCGAGCCGTTAGATTTTCCACGACGCCGGTATCTGTTTTCACTGCTTGCGCAGTGTTTGTTTTCATGCTGCGTTCTTTTAAAGCATGAAAATCCGCTGCTTGATAATAATACGCGATAACATGTGTGGTGAACAACCGCGTCTTTGGTTCAATTTGGGCCGCAAAGTGGCAAGGCCGCGCTCATCGCGTGCATCACACTTGCTGGAAACGCGAAAATATTTCTACGAAATACGGCTCCAAACCTGTGCAAGTTCCAATCTAGCCAGTGGCAAGCGAATCTTTAAAATAAAATATAAATGGAATTGATTAAATGGCACATGATTAAGAAGATTGTTCTCCGCTCACGTGCGCACCGCGTCTAACCTATGCCATGACTTTAGCTGCAGACCGATCGCGGATCGATGCGAACGTCGATATTTCCGTTTCTAGACATCGTGGCGGAACAAAAACCCGGGAAATTAAAAGGGAAATGCGTTTTTCGATGAACATGAAATCGTTCTTCGGTGAAACAAGAACCAAATTACGTTTATCTTAATTTCGCGAATGATGTCGACTCTCGTGTTTACGTTAAAATGAAAATTAATCCATTCATTACAAATCAGAAACCTTGGCTCCGATTTGTAATGCAAAGCATCAATTTCATGGTTTCAACGAATATAAAGTACAATTTAAAAGAAGAGGAAAATAATAGGAAATTTTATTCTGTATTTGAGAATTAATCTGTTAAATTTTGAACGTTGATTTCTGTTTCATAAAATTATACTGAGAGAATGAAAATAACGTTCGATAATTACAGATATGCACAAGGTGTCCGACACAATGCGTATCAGGTGCTCGTGTGCAGGCAGAGCCTTTATCGTTTTTTCTGAATTCGCGCGGCGAAATATTAATTTCATAAACTTGCAGCCGAAATTAGCGTCCGCTAACGCGTTCAAAATTGCATAAATGCAGCGGCAATAACACGTAATAAATTTCGCGTATTATGCCGGGCGCATCTCACATCGTTTGAATTACTAACTCGCGGCTACTACTACTGGTATCAATTACGCGATATTGACATTGTCGTTCCATTGTTACGTCATTACGAGGACAGCTATTACGGTCAGGTTATCTAGAACTCGCGTACGTTTATTTAATCAAAGATCCTTCCGCATGAATAAATAACAGACTTGTGGAACGTACGAGCGGTTGAGAGTTACAGATATATTTTAATATACGCACGTGCGTATGCATTAGCGAAAAATTACAATATTATAAAGGGTGTCCCATTTCAATGAAAACAGTGGAATATCTTGAAAACGAAGCAATTGACAAAAATATAGTTTATGTCCCCCCTGCGAACCCTACAAATTTTGTCCAAACCATTTTTCGTCAATTGATTCGTTTTCTAGATATTTCCATTAAAATAGAACACCCTGAATGTGTTCTCTCATTGTTTCTTAATTTGTGCGTACAGCGCGATATTCTGTTTTCCGACTTAGAAATTCGGTTATTCCGAACGCAACGCGGCGTAAAATATTAACAACAAAGCGAGCAACAGTATCGATGGCACGCGCTCGGATTTTGTGCCAAAAAAAATTTTTAAAAACTGTCGTTTGCACTGCACTCCAAATATCGACATGCCGACACTCGAGACGGATCGAAACACTTTTTACGCTGGCAAGCGAGAGTGAGTGTACCGAAGGTAAACTAATAAATCCGGCAAATCGCTTTACGATCCACGTCCACTCGACTGCGACTGCGGAGATTAATAGCGCGACAGTGTCGCAGTATATCAATTACACCGTCGTTATAATGTCGTCAGGCCGGTCGCGATGTCGCGCGAGTGCTAATTAACGAATCTCCGCGTCGCCGGCTAGGCTATTACCCGGCGAAAATTGAGAGCCACTGCCTGACTGGCCGTAGTAAGTCGTAGATCAGTCGCGAAAGATCCTGATAAACGGGTTACGAGGATTAGATCGTCGATATACAACCTCAGTGGAGCGGCGCCGTTCGACGATCGCGTCGCGGATTAAAACTCGATTCGATTAATTGTCTCGCCTTTATCGAGGAATAGCGTGAGTCAGCTATTAATTCGTAGACGAGTCCGCAGAGAAAGCTTCTCTCTGCCTTCCTCTCTCTTTTCCTCAGTCTTTTGTAACTTTTGGTGTATTTTTAATATTTACTACACAACATTTTAGTTTGAGGTCTTAATTTCTCTCCGCTTTGTATTCTTTATTTTATATTCATTTTTCTTTACACTACGCGTATGTTGTTAAGTTTTCTTTACTCCCCTGTGTATATAAAAAATGTAAACAGGTATATCTATCGTTAAGTCTCTCTCTCTCTCGCTCGCTCGCTATCATTGCCGTTAATTGATATTTTGATCGCATCAAATGAAATTCAGTCATCCATCAGATTCTGTTGAAAAGAAAATGTTGATATGTCACAGCGTGAATTTGGAAATTTTGTTTCGTAAATTTATGAAAAGATGGCACGAGATAAAACAGCTGAATATTTCATATTTAATCCACTTTACAATCTCAAGCGATTTTATATTTTAATTGCTCGTTTATATCACGTAGTCGCACATTTATAGGTTGATGTCTAATGTGCACTCCGCAGCGTGCCAGACATTTCGTGAAAGGTCGCGTTAACTTGCACATCGCTATTTGCGACACACTTTTGATAAAACTCACGTTAGTATCGCATTTCTGTCGCAGGTTATCCTTGTGCCTCACAGCCACACCGACCCGGGATGGCTGAAGACATTCGAGCAGTACTTCCACAGTTCCACGAGGAGCATTCTAAACAACATGGTCTCGAAACTCCAGCAATGGCCGAACATGACCTTCATCTGGAGCGAGGTGTCGTTCTTATCGCTGTGGTGGGACAGGTAAGTGCGAGAAAAATAAAACGACATATTCTCCAAGTTGCAAAGACAAAAATGACAACACGGAGAGAAATATTTTGCCGGCAGCTGACAATTTGCTAAAATTCTTTTTTCCGCGAACGTATGCGGACTCACGAATTAAAGACTGAATCGAATGCTTGTCGATATCATTGATGACGTGCGCACAGCTCTTTGAAGACACACGAGCCCCTGAAAGAGGGCGATTCGTGCGTTTGGTGAACCGTTCCTCTCGCAGGCATGAGAAGAACGGCTTGTCGTAAAATAGGCCATTGAGGGAGAAAAGAGCGATAGAGTATCGGCAAGAGAGATGCCAGGCTGGTTCTCGGACCATTTGGCGCGAAAGAACGGAACGGAAACCCGAGAACAACGACGAGCGGGTCCTCTTTTTTAACGAGCCGCGCGGAAAAGCTGCGGACGAGGTAGGAATGAAGACAGAGAGAAAAAGAGAGGGAGAGAGGAAGAAGTGTCGCGAGCATAAAAGTGGATTCCGGGAAAAGGGAGCGGATAAAATGATAAGTTCTAGATGAGTTTCACAGGGGAGCTCGCTTTCATTATTCTCACGGTGCTCGTCCTAAGGACAGAATGGGATCCGAAGGTTTGCTGGAAAGTAATTTTTACTCGAGGATTTAGCCACCCCGCAGATCGATACGGTTTTATCGGATGGAGAGAGGGCGAAAATGGACGCTTGTAAATTGCTTAATGCTACCTTTCAGCGCAGTCTTGGGAAAATGAAGTAACTGTGTGTACGATCGTTTGAAAATTTCAGAATTAAAAATTAAGCCGCCTCTCTTTGTCCGAAGCGCGCTCTCGCAGACAGTTCGTATCTTTAATTAATCGTGATTCCGGAGAGCGCCGGCAAATATAGATTAACCCATTTCCGGGCTGGAGAAATATTAAGATCCACGAGATCCAAGTACCGTTTTAGAGTTTTAGTTTGTTAATTAGGACCTAAGAAACCCAAAGATCTTAAAATCAGAATTTTCTGATCTACCCTGGAAAATAGTCGAGGCACCTACCTTGAGTGACACCTACCGTATACTTGGTGAACCTTATCATAACGGGAATCGTCATTTTTGACGATTTGAACTTTTGCCAACAATTCCTCATTGTTTTTTCAATTTTTATTTTTTACTATTTTTTTTTAGGCAATTAATTAAAAGTTGAAGCAATGAACTAAAAAGATGTTTTACAAGGTTATTTTCCACTCTACCTACCGTCAGGGAAGGCATGATGGGTGGGCAATTATTTTCAGAGAGGCAAAAGTCCAAACTATATCTCAATAACAAAATCTAGGCTAGAATTTACCTTTATCATGGGTAAAAAATTGTTTGAAGATAGATACATTTGTTGTTCTTATACAGGAACAGAGAAACGAAATGGATTAAAATGTTTTCGTTGAACTGATTCGATTGAAACTCTCAGTATGCGTTAATACATGATAATTAGAATAAGAGAACTAACTTGGCCGATATAAAATCGTCAAAAAATTCGTTTAATTTCTCAGATTTGTTTGGTAGTTTAAAAGTTTAAAAGTTCAACCCACAATAAACAGTCTCTTCGGAATTCATTTCACTTTTACACTTTTGTTCTTGGAATTTTTACGCAATAATTTACAAAAGCCATTTTTATCCCGTTTCACCTCGAAATGCTCGTGGCCCAAATCCTGTACATAAATATGAGAGAAAAAAAAAGGGAGAAAGAAAACGGAACAGCTAACCAACCACCCCTTTACACCGACGCGGCCCTAAGCTCTGGAAACCGTAAAACGCGGAGGAGAGAGACTGCATCGGCATGCATCGCCCGGGTTTCGCCGCGTATCAAAAATTTATTATATCAGCGGCGGTGCAGTTTAAACGGGTCTGTCGCGGAAAGCTCATCCCCAAACGCCCAGTTTGAGCTGGACGTAACCATCTTAGCCTTAGCGACCTTAAACCAACCTACTGGTCACCGGGGAGAACAGAGAGAGCGAAAAAGGAGGAGATATATATATAGAGAGAGAGTGAGAGACGTATAGCAGGTGGAATCCGTGGAGGCTTTATGGCCGACGTAAACGACGTAATGTGGAAACCACCTTCGAATGGGGAAGGTTATGTAGGTCGTACATAACACTCGGACGCACAAATCACGTAAATCCAGGCCGGCTGAAATGCGCCGGCGATAAATATGATTTGCAACCCGAATTGCGCGATGGGTATAAATAAAAAATAAAAAGCAGAACGCGGGCGGGCGGGAAGTCGCGTCACGCGCGAGAACGAATAAATCCGCGTCGGTTGATCCGTGCCGGGATTGATCGTAATGGCGTGGAAGCGCGATTATTTGTACGGAAGTTGAACGACCGTGTGAGCACCTCGTTCATTCATTGATCGTTGAATTTTCAGCGCCCACCCGACGAAGAAAATGGTGGTAAAGAGATTAGTCAAGGACGGTCGGCTGGAGATGACCACAGGCGGCTGGGTGATGACCGACGAGGCTACTTCTCACATCTACGCGATGTTGGACCAACTCATTGAGGGTGAGTACCTCAGCATTTAAAATCATATGTTAGAAACATTTTCAACTGGAATACATCGTTATTTTGGGAGTCGGATTGTTATATTGTAGAAAATTTTCTATACGGGGACTTAAACGAACGCCTAAAACCGAAAGGAAAAATTCCTCCCCTATGAGTATCGCGCGCGAAAATCACCGAAATATAAGGACGAACTCGCGAAATTCTATCGACCGAGCGCAATGAAAAAACCTCCGTGAAAACGACTGCGGGAAAGCAAGGGAAGGCAGGCTACGAAAGGATACCTCTCTTTCTTCCTGCCGTAAAAATCAGCTGGCGCTTTAAAACACTCTATCGACAGGGGAAAGGACGTCGGCCAGGTAGGTCGGATATCCCTGTCGTTTGCTAGCCAAGCCGGCAGGAAGCAATAAGGATCCGCGCGCGGAAGGAAGAAGACTCGAGTGGATGGAAAGGATTTCTCGTCCGGACGGGGGAGGAGGAGACGGGAGAGTAATAAGGCGGCGACGGGTGCAAGCGGGTTTCTCCGAGGAAAATTGCTCTCCGCTACGTCGTCTCCTTCGTCCTGGCGGAGAGTCGTCTGATTACGACCTTCTCTTCCTCCCTCCCACGGCCGCAACGAAGGGAAAAGGATCCCCCTCGCTTCGTCGGTTTAATGTTACCGCGAAAGATTTTACCGCCCTCGTGAAATTTCAGTCGGCGTTGATTACCTTTCCGCGACTCCCGCATGCTGTATCATCGCGCCTACTCTCGCCCTTATCCACCCACCCACCGGAGAGATAGTAATAACTATTACGTATGTCGGAAGGATTACGCGGCGAAAATACGTCGCGAGGAATTCCCCGCTTAATCGCCGTTTCCGACATCGTCGTAATTCTCACCTTTGGACGGCCGTGAGAGGGCCGCGCTCGAGAGCACCGACAACATACGATCGTTAACGGTGGGAGGTACGACAAAGCGTACAGCGTGTTATGACCCGTCCTCGCGCGAAACGTACAAGTGACACGAGGACCCTCGTCCTCGAGTGGCACGCCCGAATAATGCGCTCTCCCTCCTGCGCGCGCGTTTCGCTCTCGCAGCCGCGCGTTGGTACGTATAATCGTCCGCGGATCTAACGGCTTGTTTTTGCGCGCCGGTGTATTCATTGCCCCGGCGTAAAAACGAAATCCTCCCCATTGTTGCGCGAGCGGACATGCGGCGACGACTGCGTGACGTGTACGTTTAATGTATATCCGAGCGCAGTGAGTTGCCTCCTCCCCCCCCCCCCCCCNCCTGTCGTAAATAACTATTTCTCTCCTCGTAACGCGAATATTTCTATTTATCTCGTCGTAGACGCGATGCGTACACTGAAGCGCGAACGGATCTATTTTTTCCTACGAAAGTTTATATTCGCTGTTGTTGTTCTAGCTTTCACGGAGATGAGAGACGTTGTATAATACCTTTCAAATGCTGTTCCTCATTGTTGTTTTTATATTCGTGTTTGCGAAGTATCCACACAGACAAGATTTCTTTGAATTTCATGAAATCCATCTTAATTGAAACAAATTTGTAGTTTGCAATTAAAGGGATGTTTGATTCAACAAACGAGAGCTTTTGAACGTTAAACATCTTTACGTCAAATAACACATTTCTTTTGTATTTTCTGAAAATCTAAATATTACAACGGTTGTCACGAGCGATAAATTATTTGGAGACAAGTAACACTATGTTAGAAAAATATTGAAAAACTTCTTTGTTTCGGTGGAACAAATATATAATGAAATAAGTTTCTTTCTTATCGAAAACCAATTATTCTTTCTTTTAAATAACAGAGACGAAGGTGGCCAAAAGGTGCGTAAAAATATTGATTGTTGACAAAGTTATCGTACATAATGGAGGGCCGTAACATCACTTTTTCCTCTGCCGTTTTTTTTTTCTGTCAAAAACAACATGGTTTACTTTAATAAAACATTTTCATTCAAACAAAAAGATATTAAATTATGTTGTTTATATGGAACAAACCCGACAAGTGCGCATACTAAATCCAACAAAACCATTCTCTCTGTGTGTACGTTCTATGGAAATAAATACTCTAATAAAACCATCATGAAGAAAGATGTACGTAGGATTAGAGATGCGATATTTATAGCGAAAAATATATTACGTTGCATCGGTGAAATCTTGATCGCGAATTTACGAGTTGAAATACGCATTGAAAGCCGCGCTAATATCCCGGCGAAACGCATTCCGTCGTGCGGTCGCGTTATTATTTGTAAGAGGGATTGTCGAATCAGGCCGGCCGGTCGTAAACGAGTACGAATTATGCAACGTTCAATAGCCCGACGCGGATCACTTTATGGCGATTTCGCGGCGAAATACGATTTTGCGGCGACCGCATTAAATTGAAATAATGCCGCTACGGTGTATTAACTCCTAATTATTAGGCTACTGAATATGTATGCGCGACGTGTTCGCGCCTAGAACACACGCTAAATTGCCAAGTTCGACCGTTAACGACCGCCGTCGCTGCGCGCTCGGATATCCGATATGTATTTTCGGCTGCATTACAAGCGAGCGCTGCATCGACAAATATCCGACGCGGATTTTCGCGTCGTACTGCTCCGCTTGTAAACACGCTTAACATACAAAAGTCCGACGCGTAATCGCCGATTTGCCGGCCGGAAAGCGCCGAAAACGCGTCAGAGCGATCAGAGAATTAACGTCATCGGTTAAAACGTACGACGCGGAACTTCCCTTTCTCTCTCGTAGTCGACGATAGTTGCGAAGTACAGCGTTCCCAACTTCGATGCTTCTCGACGAGATGTTCGACAATTCCGCGCGGAGATCCCCGTTTTAACGTTGTGTGCTGACGTAACAATAGACTAAGTCGAGTCCTTACATCATGGAGAATTCGTTTCCGAGAATTACCGAAACAATAGACGACTCTCAATCTGAGCGATGTCGGATGTAACGTAAGCGTTAGAGAAATCACCCAAAAATCGATTTTTTCGTCATTTCAAAAGTCGTCTCCTTAACGGTTTTAAATTTCGGTTTTTCTGCCCTAAATATTTTCTACAAATAAATTTTGATATTCTCAATTTTATGTATTTAACACTTGTTCCGATTATGTTAACACATACAAGTAATTGTCTCTTTATACGAAGGAAATATCATGCTTATATATAGCCAATTATATTTCTACTTCCAGTAAATATTCGCTATTAGAGCGACCATTTCACTTGGATCAAGTAAATATTATTTGAACGGTAAGCACTGTTTTCACTATACAAATTGCACGAATCTTTTAATATTTCTTTTGTTCCGTTATTATTTCTCTCTATTTTTAAAATCAATTACTTTGTAATAAAAGGGATGCGTGCACTCACATTAAACTGACGCAGCGTAAGAAGCTGCGCGATACATTCGTGCCACTTTGTAGCTCGATCGGGACGAATGTTTCACAAAGCATCTTCGAGACGTTCAGTTTTTGCCGCCGGTGTCGTGTTAAATCCCGCCTCCTTCTTTCTCGTCAGGGAAATTAATTTCGCGCGAACGTTCAGGCGCGTCACGACGAGACAGCGGCCTACCTTAGACACGGCTTCCGTTCCTTCGCTCGTGTTTCACGGCGCGCGAACAAAGGAACGATCTTTTAATAAACGACCGAGTATTAAACGTAATCCGGCGTGCCGCGATAATATCGGCGATGCGAGAGGAGACTCCCTCCTTTCTCACGCCGATCATCGACGGCGCTCCCTCGAGGATCCACTGCAAATATCGGCCGGATAAAAGCGTTTTACGGCTACGTCGTATCGCGAGCGAGGGCTTTAAATTCCACCCCGGCTCGCTTCATCGCACCGTGTAAACACGTGGACGCGCACACACGACGGGCACTAAAGCGCCGGGGAGTGCAATCGAAGAAAAGTAGCCGCGCGATATTACGCTATCGAGATCTCCTCTCAAGGCGGAACACTTCCGGCGAACCAAATGGCGACGGTGCGTCCCTCGGATTACGTTAATCATGTGATTAATTGATTCTAAATAAAAAATAATAATTAGAAACGTTAATGCATAATTATATGTTAGTATAAATTATGTCGCGATCGTATAACTGCTCATACGATACTCAAATCAAGAGAAAAAAGTACGTATTAAGTATATGTTACATTTTTTAAGAAATACAGATTTTATATATATACATAATTTTATTAAATATAGTACGTAAATATAATTAATAAATAATTTGTTTCTTAAATATCTGCGATGTTTCTAATTAGAATACCTGCAAATGAACTAAAGAATATAAATAACATTTTTCCGTGTTTTCATTATAATGTGTTTCTTTTTAATACATTAATGAATTGAGTTTGATCCGAAATTGGGACTCGATTCTTAAATGGGACCTGATATGTCAAGTTATCCAAACCTAGGAAGGTAAGAGCAAGTATTACTTCTTTGCTTAAACAGCTTTAGTTACTCCCAGGGTTCGAGAAAAAAACGTCACTTTTCACCACCACTTTGGTGTCTTTTTCTACAAAGAAGTGATTTTTTTGTTATTGGATGGCAGCGCTGGGGGGGGGGGGGGGTTTCNTGATCATCGCAATCGCACTCGGGAAATAATTGTAAGTCAACCGCTACCGAAAATGGGACGGGAAGAGTGGCGTTGAATAAAAAGCGGTAACCGTGGCAGCGCCGGCAGATTGATGGGAATTGATTTTTGTCGTCGACGAAGCGACTCTCTCCCTGCGAAGGCAGAACGGCCGTCTAATGGCTCGTCGAGCGCTCCGCGTACAGCCGATGTCATTTGCATCGAAATGGCGCGACACTATGCGCAATATCCCGCGTCCTGTTTTCCCGAATTCAAATCCGCCAATTTCCGAACGGGCGTCCTCCGCGCTGCGGCGTGCTGCGTATCGCGCATACGTACGAAGTTTGCCCGGCCCGGTTATTATTGCAGCGCGCGCGGCTATTGTTGCGCGGCACGGAATAGTTACGGTTATGGCTTTCGACGGGCACTCTCTGAGACGACC